TATTTGAATGGTTTCTGTAGCTGAAAGTATGCTGAAGTTATTGAGAGCCAAACTATTTGGTGAAATAAGAAGATGATTAAAGAATCGAAGAACTGTAGTGGAATTTGAACTAATAAAGACACACTACAATAATACGTTTGTTATAAATAATAATTTTAGCAGTGATTTGGACCAAACATGTATTCACTATGGAATTTGATAGGAAGCTTTTATTTGTAAAATTGCAGTTAGGAACATGTTTCCCGTGGACAACTTTTCACATGCCAAACTTGTCACAACTCAACAGGCTGCTTTTGCACGACTGATTCATGTAAGTCTTATTTTACACTTATTTTACCTAAGGAGATATTTGATATCTTGTGAAAAATAACAGTACATCATATTTGAACATTACCTGACCTTGTCATCCATTACTAGTGAGGAAGAGACTTCATGTCTATGTCAAATTACACAGGAGGAACTGGACAAATGCTGCTGTATGATTATTTACCGCAACATCACAATGGAAAACTTCTTCACCAGTATCCCTCTGGCTGAAAAGCTCCTTGAGAAGATCCTGACAATTGTGGGGACTCTTTGCCAAAACAAGCCGGACATACCGCCTGTCATGAAGCCATCCAAATTCGACGCATAGCTCAGAATCTGGATTCAGTGGCAACATGACCATGGTGAGCTATGTGCCGAAAAAGGGGAAATCTGTTGTCCTCCTGAGCACCATGCATGAGGACAGAGCAGTGTAACAGTGTAAAGAAGTGATCCGGTACTATAACAAAACCAAATCAGGAGTGGACACAATGGATCAGATGGTTCGCACCTACATATGCAAGCGGAGAACACAGAGGTGGCCCATGGTGCTCTGGCACAATGTGCTCGATGTTGCCACCCTCAATGCCTGCCTACTCAGTCTTTACTGCACAACACCCTAATTACATGGGTGGTGTGACCAATGCACGGCGGCTTTTCAGCAAGGAGCTCGTCATGCCACATACACTATATAGACAAAATTATTGGGACACTCCTCTTAATCATTGAATTCAGGTGTTTTGTTCAGTCCCATTGCCACAGGTGTATAAAATCAAGCACCTAGCCATGCAGTCTGCCTTTACAAACATTTGTGAAATAATGGGTCGTTCTAAAGAGTTCAAATTCAATTTGAACGTGGCACTGTAATAGGATGCCACCGTTGCAACAAGACAGTTTGTCTCCGATATATTCCACCATCAACTGTAAGTGGTATTATTAAGTGGAAACGTTTAGGAACTACAGCAACTCAGTGGCAGACCAAGTCAAGTTACAGAGTGTTGTGGGGGGGGGAGTAGACTGGCCAAAGCTCTGCAATAACTGCAGAGTTAAAAAACCAGCTCTGGCATTAATATCAGACCAAAACTATGGGAGCTTCATCGGTTTTCATGGCCGAGCAGCTGCATCAAGCCTTATATCACCAAGCACAATGCCAAGCGTTGGATGGAGTGGAGTAAAGCACGCCGCAACTGGACTCTGGAGCAGTAAATCAAATCAAATCAAGTTTTATTTATATAACACATTTAAAAACGATTTTTGGTCGAGCCAAAGTGCTGAACATGTAATAAAAACACTTTACTACAATCACAATAGAACAGTAGAAACGTGTTCTGTGGAGTGACCAATCATGCTTCTCTATCTGGGAGTCTGATGGACCAGTCCGGGTTTGGCGAATGCCAGGAGAACGTTACCTGCCTGACTGCATTGTGCCAAATGTAAAGTTTGGTGGATGAGGGATAGCTGTTATAGCTGCAAAGGGGGGACCAACTTCATATTAATGCCTATGAATTTTGAATGGGATGTCATAAAAGCTCCTGTAGGTGTAATGTGTAGGTGGCCCAATACTTTTGTCTATATAGTGTATAAAGAGATGCATGGATGGCACGCCCCACCTTCAAAAGCACATTACAGGGGCAATGGAAAGATGTGGGCTAAAAAGAGTAAACACCCACACCACCCAGCCACATTTAATGTTTGGTCCAAATCACTGATAAAATAATTATTATTATAGGATGTTTTGCATACATGGGTCATTTTTTACCCATGTATGCAAACTTGATGTAGAAATACAAAAACCGTTTATTTACTACATTAAGAAAGCTAGAATGAAAATAATGATGTGTGGTGATCAAAAACAAGATATTAAATGAATACTTGGAATATTAAATGATTAAATAAATTGATTTCTAAAAATATAGCTAAGAAACACTCAGCCATGCATGAAATAACATTATAAGTCAATAAGGGTCATTTTTTACCCATGTTGTCCCTTAGAAGGGGTTCTCATAGCTTGTGTATCAAAAGGTTAACTACAGTTAATTAGGGCTACAGGTGCCTATGCAACAGCAGGTTATCGTTGCTGCCAGTTTCATTGCTCATATAACCACCAGATGGCACCAGAGAAGGCATTATTCAATTATACATTCAGTGACGAATGCCTAGTGAAAAATTAGCAAAATGACCCATTGCATTGCACATAATCACTAAGATTGTCATGTATGTTCTTAACATTAAAAGTGAAATCCACCTTCATTTCACAGACGGTGTTCCTAAAGGGTCCTGAGACCGGTGCATGTCTGGAGGTCCCGACAGGAAGTCAGTACAGTGTTAAGATCAGAGCTAAACCTAATGGGTTTATTTACTCAGGCCACTGGAGTGACTGGTCAGATGTGCTGACTGGTGAAACCCCTGCTGACGCAGGTAAGCTCATACTGAGACTGACAAAGATCTGACACACATTTATTAGTAAAAGTCACAACAAAATAGGAGTAGATTTTTAGTCTGTGTGTGTTGCTCTGATTAAATCAAACCCTAATGCTGTTTAAATCACATTTACAGGCACACTGCTCATTCTGTCTATCCCTGTCGCCCTGCTGATAATGGCCATCATTGTCATCTCCTTGTTTCCCACGTACCTCCGGTAGGACTGTTGTTCCTCATCTTTTAGGATTGAAATGAGATGAATTTTGAGGACTAATAATAATAATTTGAGACCTAAGAATATTGATAATATTATGATGAATTTCCACATTTCTTATCCTTTTCTTTACATCTTTGCTCTATGTGTGTTTATACTGTAGTAAGCTCAAGCTGTATTTTTGGCCACCAGTGCCCAACCTTGATAAAGTCCTCCAAGGTTTTCTGACAGACCTCGACGAACAGAGATGGGTAAGTTATCTACATTATTTAACATGCTGCATTTACCATTTGGTTACACATGTATCTAAGCAACGTGGGTGCAACATTGCATCACTTGAACATAACATATTTTACTCCAGTGAAACATGGTTTCGGTTAAATACTAATTTAGCCATAAAGATACAATATAAATATAGATATAATATATAATTGTAATGACATGAAATGTGTTCATACATTGAATAGGTGAAAAAATAAGTTTAAAATATAACATGAACATTGTGTCAGTGTTCCACGGTGTAAACATGTTGCTATCTGTGCTACAGAATCCACCAATAACAGCAAAGCAATGCTCTGAGGAAACCACGTCTTCTGTGCTGGAGATCGTTTCTGAAGATGAGAGTTCAGTATTGGAAAAGCCCTCAGAGGGATGCACCCCGCTCCTGTCAGAGAGACACCTCTGCAGTGGAGGACAGATTGAAGGGGCCGGAGTCTTCTCAGATTATGTGACTCTGAACAAAGACAGTATCATTCTTTGGCCAAAAGGAAACAAGTATGTCTACGAGGAGGTTGGACCGAAAGACAGTCCAGGGGTGAGTGATGAGCTCCTCTCAGTCAGTCTGACCGCCTGCTCAGGCAGTGACTTACTGAACCGTTCCTACCTTCCTCTGCCTCTCTCTGCAGACACACCCGACTGCAAGCTCACTGATGCAAGGGGGCCAGGCAACCTCTATACTAATATCCCCTGTAGCTAAATGTACAATTAAGGTTCTTTGTATCCACTTGTGTAGGTTAGATTTAAACCTTCGTATTGACATAAAAGCATAGCACTTATGGCTTCAAACTAGACCTTTTTACCATATATTCAACATTTCTATAATTGTTGAAGATATTTAAGCATATCATATTGTTTTTATATTTGTAATTGTACATACTACTGCTGTGTGTTTATATCCACTAGAGAGAACAGTAGATCCAGGATACACTCAGTGACTGTATTGTTTGGTATCTGTTAACATAATTACCATGTTTTACTGTTCTGGGGTTAGAGGGAAGTGGCATGAGGGATTGGGAATATAACATAATGTGAATGTTTTGAGTTTGAATTTTATGTTTAAACATTCATAGGAAAATATGAAATATGTAAAAAAAAAAAATACTTTCTTTTTTGTGAATGTACTTTTTTAAAAATAAATTATCTGCATCTGGAAAATCTTTTTTTTCTGCAGATCTTATTCATTGATACGGTTTGTTTTATATTGATATATTCTATACATATTTATTGTAGATTCCTCTGAGGTTCCTATTTGAGGTTGGAGTGTTTGCTTGTAGAAGACAAAACAAGCTTTTAGTTTTTTCGCATTTTCTGTGAAGGCACTTAACGTAACGTAAATGTCAAACTAAAACATAGGAGACACATGGACATTTTAATTGATTTGAGCAGCTTGTCTTGCTTACTATCAAACAGCAACTGAACTGTCTTGAGCTTAGATACAGACCCTATTTCTGTCTGCCTTACAATTTAGGTGTCACTAGGTGGTAGCAGAGATCAGCGGGCAGAGATGGGTTGCCTCTGGGTTGTCATAGCCAGTCCTTACTGAGACAATGCTAGGTTATTCTACACAACACAACAATTAGAAAACAGTTAGATTTTAAATGTTTTGATGAATCCTCCTGATTTATACCAACCGTCCTACCCTCCTTGAGCTTTATTTGTGTTAAGATAATGTCAAAACCATAAACAAAATATGAATTGAAATTACATTTGTAACCATGACACGACAGATTAGTTAACCTTCATAACTGGGGCCTGAACAATAAAAAAAAAAACACAACACAGGTGAATGCTAGATTATTTATTACATGAAGTAGACGAAAAGCTAATTTTACGATGATTCAACATTTTTTACTCACAACTTGTATGAAATCCAAGAGCCCTCAGTTGGAATAAGAGCAACCACAACAACATGACTACTATAGTGAGTGACGGGATTAGTAAGAGGTTAAATAAACCTTCAACAAAGTCAGCACACATTTTCAGCCACAGTTACTCACAGACCTGCCAGCCAAGAACCAAACATGTATTAAATGTTCTGAATCAGCGCCGATAGGAACATCACATTCTGCCACAGAGCTGCACAACCAACGAGTGATTGGAGCAATGTGAGATAAAATCCAATGGTTGACTAATCAGGAAGCCTAATGATGTATTTGTTAAATTTGACAGGGACAACACATGTAGCCATCATTGCATTAAGTACAATGTACTGTATATAGGACTCCATGTGCAGATCTTGTCTGGCCTTATGGAGTAACTGCGTGAGAATCACAACTGGATGCTCTGCAACTATTATATCACCTCGCATCCAGCCAGCTGTAAAATATACTACTAGTGTCACACTTTAACAGCAGGCCATCACATCTACAGCGTTCGCCAAACTGTATGATATCATGGCCATAAATTAGCTCGGATTGTCTATGAGGCAATAGCAGAGGAGCGGAGAGAGCGATTGTTTAGAGTTAGGACGAAAGACAGAAAAGTTTAAGAGTCAGTGTTTACTGGTGAACAAGCCTCTCCTCCCAACAGGAATTCTTTCCACGTTTCATCACTGCCCACTTGCCCAAACGCCAACGTCTACAGAGGGAGGTTGAATCACCTCCTGATGTCATTTCCTCAACATTCACTTACAATCACATTGAGAAAAAACATGGTTTTACATAGTACAGTATATAGTACAGTATTCAAGATGTCAAATCTACAGGCTTCAAATGGGGATTCAGCAACAACAGTGATAAGGCCACCAAAACAGAACTCATTAACATCCTTAAGACTCATGTTTGCACCTACCATTGTGGAGACATATGGAAACACACCAAGCTGTTAGCTTGTTCTGCATGCCAAGTGCAAAACTCTCACACTGCAGTCACATTTGGTGCTATTGGATTTAGTGTAATAGACATTAGTCTCACAGCATGCTCCCATTCAGTTTGAGTACAAACTGCCAGACAGGGAACAAAAATAATCAGTGTAATCAATAACAGGCAGAACTAATGGAGTGAGAAAACTACAGTGCCTTCACAATCATTCAGCAGGAGAGACATTGTGTGTTTCATACAGACTTTACATGTACATTTAGAGAAGCAGGGGTGCTGTGTTGGAATAAATGAAAGCTAGGGTTTTATAATGAAGACATTCATTTCCCACTTCTCTCTCTCGTCCGTAGGGTTGGCACAGAATCTAAACAAAGGCTCATTAGGAGGGATGCCAAAACGCTCTCAAAATGGTACAGGTGGTCCTTATAGAATACATTAACAGGCTACTGGTCACTAGCTGGTGGAAAGGCATGAAAAAGGTGACAAAGATGCAAACCCCCAATGAAGTATGTTCAACAGGAAGTGTATCTGTCAGTTGTTAGTCAAAGGCCTGCATTGCAACTCAACTAAAAGTACTCAATGTGGCAACTAAAACATTTTATCAAACTGATCCATCAGGTTTTATTGGTCCATTGCTATATACTGTAGATCTCTTAAGGTGTTCAAAATTAAACTGTGTAAACAAGTATTGGTTTGCAGGTTTCAGAGGGGCTTAATGTGGCTCATGGTCTACCCCTCGGATCTGGGATCTGATCATTTAGTATCTCATAAAGATTATATTATTATTTTTGTGCATGTATCCTTTTATCATAGTGATAGTGGAGAGACAGATGAGACGCTTACTGTTTAGGACAATAGTGCCAATGTGGAATGTGCCATGACCACTCAGTTACTGGGTCATCCTGAACCAAATGTTTATAATTTGTAGACTTTTTGGAGTAAACACGATCAAAAAACATATATAGCTTAACATGGGGAAAATCTATTACCCATTATCAAACCTCCCAATTAGTTTTCTTGGATTGCATTTAGCTTTAATTAGAAAAATGTAAAACTAAAAAAATCTAGATTTTAATAATAATGATTCTAATGTAATATACTATTTCTTTAAGAGACAACATTAACCACATTTTCTTTCAAGTAAACTGATCTATTCACAATTTTGTTAAATTAAATGTTAGTTTTTTTTGCCTATCCTTCCTCTGAGTACCAAAATAGATTAGCTAAACCTTGGGATCCTTAGTGATGTGATACAGGCTCCACTTGGGTACCATGCACTCAGAGACCCCCTGCTGAGCGGCTCAGATGTCGGCCCTCTTGGTGATGAGCACCGAGCAGCATGTGAGGGCTCCGTCCAGCTTGGCCTTCTCCATGTTGGACACCGGGATCAGCATGTGGTCCTTCAATTTCTCGAACACCTGCGGGACATAAAGACAGGGCGTCAATGGAAAAAGTGACATCCTGCTCTTTTAGATTCTTTACACTTCATGAAAGGTTATTATAAAAGGATGTCATCTCAAATTCAAGGAAACACAGTGTTCATCCAACTATTACTGAATAAAGATGTCGTAATGCTATTATATACAGTATTTGGGATTCAAGAAGCTGCATTTCTACATAAAGAAAAAAGTTATCAAATGCAAAATAGATATAGTCATGGCAACAGCTGTTCCTGTTCTGCCTCCTGACTGTGAGCCAGTGTTGCAGGTATTGACCAGCCACTACTATAACAAGCCCTTGAGAAAAATCTGAAGTACAGCACAGTTGGCAGTCGTTAAACTGTAAGGGGGAACTTACGCAACACTTAAGCTTGTTTACTCTACTTGTCAACTTGTAATGTTCTGTGATATAAACGCCCTGCAGAGAGACACAAAATGTGAAGCTGGAGTAGAAGCATTCGAGAAAGTTTCCTGGTCGCCCGGCAAAATATATAAAAAAAAGATGGGAGTGAAAACTATTACGACATTCTCAAAAGACCCTTGTAAAGTAGTGTGTCACCCTGTGGACATTTTCCAGGAGAAAAACTGTGTTTTCCGACCACACTTCCAGGATATTTCTCTCTTTAAATTCTCATTTCAAGCCTGCTGTGATACTGAGCGAGGCCTTGCAGCACAGCCAGAGGGACCAGCTAAACAAATTCTTATCTCATGATGCAATATGGCTGACGAAGCCTCTGGTGATCCAAATGCCATGTTTAAAGACACAGCTGTCATGTGACTTATAACTCTTTTTCCTACCCGAGAAAGTTAGGTTGCAAGTGTGCAGATCAGGGGCCTCATTTATAAAGCCTTGCGTAGGATTCACGTGGGAAGGTTGCTTACGTAGGACAAAGCAAATAAATACGCACAGACATTTTCCGATTAATAAAACACTGCGTGCCGGCGTAGGACTTGCGTGCGGCACGTCCTACGCCGGTTTCCCTTTATAAATCACAATCAACTCGAAATGCGGCGCAGCTTTTGCGGGCTTCACGTAACGCCCATATTTGCCTATAAATAGTCAAAGAAACGCCCATTCATTCATTTTGACTGACTGCATGAAGAAGATCGCAGGAAATGACGACAGGTGTCAGATTTTGGTTATTTTAGGGAGGTCGATATAAATCATATTGTTTGGTGGATGCAGTTTGAACCAGAGTAGCAGCATGGAGGTCGGATCGTCACCAAAATAAATAAATAAGTGGTCCGAAAAAAGTTAATGACAAAAAAAATACACATAACGTTCCTCAGGCAGTGTGTCAGTGTGACAGGAGACCCCCCCATGATGAGAAGGTATCGGGGGATCCCTGCGGAGTGGAGTCAATTCATGTTTTTATTTTTATTTGGTGGTTTGTGTTCCAGCTATCAATCAGCTGTGTGCAGCGTCTCCACTGCAGCAACTCCACCAGTTAAAGGAAATACAACTAATGTGTTGAGTTATATCAGCTGCCAAATCTACCAACTATATGGTGTTCTTAGTTTCCATACCTCCTGTGTTTTATGAGCGACTTATCAAGTCTTAACAAACGGCATAAAAAATGATTAAACATGATAGTATATAAAACCATGCTCGTATCTATACAACCTATAGAAATACAAAACGGCCTCAGTTTAGACGTAATTCTGTCCTTCTGCATACCGCATCATTTATGAGAATACATGTCATAACATTAAGACAACATTCGAGGTGGTTTTCAATAACATGTATATATTTATATATATATATGTATATTTATTTCTCCAAGTTAGGTTTTTGTGTGCACTGAGGAGTCTCAAACAGGCGTTTGTTTGATCATTTAAAGATTGGTTTTAATCAATGTTTGCAAATTAATTCTTCATATATGATACATGAGGTAACATTTTATTTATTGTATTATTTTCACATATTTCTCTCCATTCTTCCTTCTGCCAACGGTGTCGCAGTTTCTCGACTCTCCCGTTGTTGTGCTTAGTGCGTACGCATGGGTCAGAGTTTGCGTGGAGGACCGCACATTTTCCCGTCAAGTTAGTTTTTTTATAAATCGCAAACATTGCTTAGAAACTGGTATGGAGTCAGATTTGGGTCAATATTCTAGCCCGCAAAACAAGCTACATACGAGCGGTAAATGTGCTTTTACACGCGCATAAAATGACCCTCGCGTGCAGATTAAACCCCCGCGAGGCGAGACAGCCTTCTTGCTCGCGCGCGAAAAGTTTCTGACACTTTGGGGCGGAGCCACTGGACTTTGATTGACAGCTGCCAGGAAGCTCGGAGTTGCCAGGTTTAATAAATGCCTGAACTACCAAGAGCCGAGGAGTGACAGCAGCAAGATCAGTTGGACGAGATTGAATTGTAAAGTTGTCCATAACAAACTATTATATTCGTAAAGTGTACAGCTAATATATATATTATCCTGAGGGGAGGGGGAGACTGAAGAGTTGTCTATAGTAATGGAGAAACTGTCAGGTTTGGTTAGGGTGGATTTTGTGTCAATGAGGAGAACCTCGGTTTTACTGTCGTTAAGTTTGAGAAAGTTAGAGGAGAACCAGGATTTGATGTCCTGTAAGCAGTCAGACAGAGAGGATGGAGGGAGGATGGTGGTTGGTTTGGAGGACAAGTAGAGCTGGGTGTCATCCGCGTAGCAATGAAAGTGGATGTTGTGTTTCCGGAAGATATTGCCAAGAGGAAGTAAATAGATGATAAAAAGAAGAGGCCCCAGGACAGAGCCCTGGGGAACACCGGTCGTGACTGGAAGTGGCTGTGATTTGAAGGTTTTGAGTTGGATGAACTGAGTGCGGCCAGAGAGATATGATTTAAACCAGAGGAGGGGTGTGTCAGTGATCCCGATGGAGGTCAATGAGGATGCTGTGGGAAATGGTGTCAAAAGCTGCACTAAGATCAAGGAGGATGAGGATAGTTAATAGTCCGGAGTCAGCTGCCATGAGGAGGTCGTTAGTGATTTTCACCAGTGCTGTTTCTGTGCTGTGATGGGGGCGGAAACCAGATTGAAATTGTTCGTACAGGTTATTGTCAGACAAGTGGGTATGGATTTGGGATGCAACAGTTTTTTCCAGGATTTTTGAGAGAAATGGTAGGTTAGATATGGGACGGTAGTTATTAAAATTGTTGGGGTCTGCACCAGGTTTCTTCAGTATGGGCGTGATGGCGGCTGATTTGAAAAGTGAGGGAACAAGACCAGAGGTGAGGGAGGGGTGTATGATGACAGTTATAAGGGAGGACAATGAAGGTAGACAGGCTTTTACCAGGGGGGTATAGGAAGAGGGTCTAACTGACAGGTAGATGGCTTGGATTTACTGATGAGGTCAGATATTACAACAGCAGAGGGAAGTGTGAAACTTGAAAGAGAATGAGAGAGATGGTCGGTGAAAACAGGGAGAGATATACTGCAGGTGGTGTTAGGAGTTAGTTGCTGGTGAATGTTTTCTATTTTGTCATTAAAAAATGACATGAGGGAGTTACAGTAGGCAGTTGAATACTGATGAGGTGCAAGAGAGTCCGGTGGTCGTAGAATGTTCTTCACTGTAGAGAACAGGACCCTTGCAACGACGTAATTATATTTTGAGGCACATGGGGTCGGTTTTTACAGATAGATTCAAGAAAATACATTTATGATCACTAATCAGTAGATCCTCACAACGGATGTGATCAACATCTAGTCCCAGAGAAAAAACAAGGTCTAAGGCAGTGGGTCGCGGACCCGTTTGGAGTGGGTCGCGGATGTGTGAGTGAAGAAAAAAAAAATTGTCAAACTTTTATTTTGAAGGCCCGATTTTCTAATGCTGTGCATGCAGTCGGCGTTGGACTGAAAGTACCGGAGACCATAAACGGCTTTGAAAACTTCTGTCACGTAGTGATCATCTTCGCAATAACATATCTTTGCTGAGAATCAAGATTGTTGCCGGAAGTCCCCACGGAGAATAACTTTGTGGTAGAACTCTTCTTTATACATCCATGGGTACAACTTCAGATACAAATTAACACATAATGAAATATGACCCCCGGTTTGATGATTGACAGGTCACAGAACAATGGGAGCTTTCAACCCTTACCGACAATTTAAAGTAAGTCACACAGACTCTTTACTCTTCTCGCAGCAAGATGTCAGAACAAAGTGAAAAACAAACAATGGCATACAATATTATTAACATGTCGGGTAGTAATAGATTTATTTATTTTCTTCTCAGAGTGTACCAGAATGCATAGTTTATGTTAGTATTTCTAAAAATCTCCTGGGGGAGAATCCCCCCAGACCCCCCTGCTGGGGTTGGGTTTTCAGCATGTGTGCCTTTTTATATAGTTCAGCTTTGATTCCATCATCTCATTAAACCTTTTTTAAAAGCATACTTTAGTTCTGTTAAGGGATATATGCACTGTACTTCACTTTTATTAATATTGTATGCTGAAAAGCGTATATATTACAGCACGTTTGTTTGGGGTAGATAGATTTGAGTGCTTCAAAATGTTGGGTTGCGATGTATTGACCAAGTAAAAAGTGGGTCCCGAGGCCTGACCAGTTGAGAACCACTGGTCTAAGGTATACCCACGTTACCCACGTGAGTGGCGCCAGAAACATGTTGCTTGAAATTAAAAGATTCAGTAATATTAAGAAATTCAGTGGCTACAGAATTTGTGGCATCATTAATGTGCAGGTTAAAATCACCTACTAATAACACTTCGTCCAGCTTGATAATAGAATTAAGAAAGTCAGTGAACTCAATTAAAAACTGACCTGCTGGACCAGGAGGTCGATAAATTAAAACACAATAAAATGGCTTTTGCCCACCAATTTGAGTCACCAGGAGTGGAGTACACCAGCTGGGCGTAAGCTGGGCGTAACTCTACGTCCGACGTAGAACCAAAGGTTAAGACCAAACTAAAGTTATGACTAGTGCACCACTTAGACTTAAGCCCTTGTATGCGTTGCGCCTGGGTGTAACTT